TGAAGAACAAAATGACAGCAACTTGTCTGTTCCCCTTCCCCCAATTCCCCAGCACTGTTCCCATCCCCCCAATTACCCAATAAAAATCTTTAAAAAAAAAATAAATAAAAGTAGGCTCACCCCTTTAGTTATACACCATCTGTTATCTAAAACTACATTACCTGACTTAATCCAACTTGTTTACCAGGTTCACTTCAAATGACTCTTGGCAACTTCCAGAAGTCAAAATTCATCCTAAAATATATGAAGGCCTGACCCGTAACGGAGGTACTGAAAACAAGTGTGACAGGTTCTAAAAATAACACCTAATAAGTTCCAAAATATGTCGAGCAATGGCAGTATTGTAGGATTGTGTGTACAAGCTCCAAGAGTTAATGCCTTTGCAAGAGAACGTTTAATTTACAAGATCCACCATATAGGTGGATGATGTCATTCCTTCAGGCCTCCTGAGATGTCAAGCTGACGCTGTGCTTGGCTTAGTCTTTAGTAACAAATGTTCATCAGGTTTCTGTCCTCCAGGCTTCCTAGCTACTGATGAGTCCAAAAAAGATGGGCAATAAAGGTCTTTTGTACTCCCACGTCAAATACCAACTTAACTAAAATGTTTTCCACCTTCAATGCCCACCCATGCTTCCCCACCCCTCTGCTCTTCCTATCCTCACCACCCTTCTAATTGCCTTTTTTTCTTGTCCTCATTCACAGGGAGGGACGATCATCATACTTTTGCTCAGTGTGGCCGTCACAGTGCTCTCTGCCATCAATGTGGGCAAGAGCATCATGTTTGTCATGACACCCCACTTGTGGGCCACCTCCTCCCTGATGCCTTTCATCGGCTTTCTGCTGGGCTACGTTCTCTCTGCTCTCTTCCGCCTCAATGGACAGTAGGTATTACCTTAGGTCTCACTGTCCCATGGGCCTCATTCTTGTCCTGGTTTCTCAGAAAAAAGATGAGATCTGAGATCTGGGGAAGGCATTTTCCTAGCAGTATGTTCAAATGCATCCACTCAACAAGGAACTTTGGACTGTGAGAAATATTGTAAAGGGAAGGGAGTGAATGGGTTAGGAACATTAAGTAGAGACCAAAAGCATCTAATCATCCAAAGAGCAACAACTCATAGATAGCAAAGTGCTTGCTCCCTGCAGAGCCTAGACTCCATCTCCTGCCCAACTCCCTGGTAGCTAACGGCACTGGGGTAGCTCCATGTCATCATGACAAGTGTTGATAATATTCTTCCTTGCCCTCTTTTCTTCCTATTCTGCCCTGACAAGGACACCACCAAGTGACAGAGGAGCATTAAGTAGCACTCAGAGCTAAAGGAGCTGTGGCCTCAGCTATAGTCTAATCCAAGTCACAAACAGTTGCTATTTTAGGGGAACAGATAACTTGAGAGCCTGGTGTGGGAACATCAGGCCCCTGTCTATACAGAGCAGTCCACTTCAGGAACTTTTTCTCTTTTCAGCCTTAATAAATGCCTACGCAGGAGTCTAGACACTAGAAGCAACCTAGTCCACCCACCCCACCCCGCAAAACACTGAAGTGCTTCAAAAATACAATTTAAAAACCTTTTTAAAACATGCTAATAAAGAACAATTAGTATAGGATGTAACACACGGTGACTTAGTCAAAAGGCTGCCAATGATTTCACGACAGTGATATGCATCCCAAGAGAATCAAGTGCCAGCACAGGAGTCTTCCTCATAATGTTCTGAGGCAGCTCTCAGGGGGTTTAATAACAACTGTTTTAATATGCTAATTGCAACTCAAGGCATTAACTAAGTGTATTCACTGTATCACTAAGTGTAAACATCCCCTTCTTAACCCATAAAATGGAAAGCAAAACAAAGAGAATGTGTTCCAAAGATAAGTAGATAGGGCTGAATCAAGTTTTTTTTTCCAATCGTGTTTTGGAGTTAAAGGTTTCCAGGCCAGAAACTTGGGAACAGGACAAGTTCCCCAGACAGTTCAACCTTTTATTGCATGTTGAAGTTGTAGTTGTCCTTGGTGTCAAGCTCAGCGTAAAAAGCCAACTGAATGCTACTGGCTAACTTTGGTCCCTCTCCAGCTGGACAGTTCTCCAAATTTTAATTTGGTCATTCTACAACAGTAGACAATTAGATTTCCAAGCTAATAAAAAATGATCTAATAAAAACTTCCTGACATAAGCCTACTAGCCACCATCTTTCCACAAGGCTGATTTTAAGGAATGGGTAACCTTGACTTTTCTTGAAACCATAGGCACTCCACACCTGGCTCTCCCCCATCTTCCTGTGTTGGACTATTCAGTGGGTCTGAGAGTACCTGGGAGGGAGGCGACAGGCAAGTGAGGCCACACACTCGTGCCCCTTCTGTGAGAATTTAAGGGGCTGGTCATTTTAACCTACACAGGTGCAGCCGCACTGTCAGCATGGAGACCGGATGCCAAAATGTTCAGCTCTGCTCTACCATCCTCAACGTGACTTTCCCCCCTGAGGTCATCGGACCACTTTTCTTCTTTCCTCTCCTCTACATGATCTGCCAGCTTGGAGAAGGGCTTCTCCTCATTGCCATCTTTCGGTGCTATGAGAAAATCAAGCCTTCCAAGGGTGAGTCCTGAGTTATTCTTGGCTCCCATATTGGAGCAAGTTTCTGGCAAGGACCTTTTGCACGGGACTATCTACAACTCTTATTAGGTCACTAGGAACCAGGTAGCTCCAAGGCTACTTCATTAACTGCATTCCGTTAGGGATGGAGTTTGCCTCATGGGACTGAGGCAATTTTGGCCGCTTTAACTGGGGAGACCACTTGTAAGGCTCAGGATGAGAAAGGAGAGCAGAACTGTCTTGGTCATTAGAGAGTTGTGAGATGAGTTGTGCAAAAGTGTTGTTGCCCATTGAGGTCTCTCCCCCTACCAAAAAAGTGCGATAGGAAATATTTCAAAACCAACCAGGTTTCCATTGCAGTTTTAGTCCCAGAAAGGCCTGAAGTGCCCTCAGATGGCCATACTCTTAATGATGGGTCTTTGGTTCTCAAGACCTAACAAAGGACTTCACTCACAGTGCACTTCAGAAGACCCCTGTGGCAAAACTAACTGGAAACTA